ATGATGGCAACATATGTACAAATGTGCTTGATACAGTTGATGTATGGATTGTTCTAAGAGCTGTAAGGGCCCCCAATGATTCATTAAAATAAAAACAAAACAAAAATTCAAAATAAAATACGCCCCCCCAAAAAGTTTTCCAACAGGATCTGCTGGCCTAAATTCAAGGCAGAGGGGTCAGTTCAGAAAGATATGACAATAGTTTTGGGGTTAATCTTTAGTTTTTGAAGGATACAGAATGATATCTAGAGCTTACAGAAAGAGGTTTTCTGAAAAACTGCATGGGTGAGGGAAAAGGCTAAGAAAGTTACTGCCATAAGATTTTCCATCACAACCATGAACCTGTTAATTCTTCAAGGGTAGAAAGGGCCGTCCTACAAGGATTTGTTGGGAAAATAACATCCACACTAAAGACCTGATTTTGACCTTTCAGGCTTTTATTCCCAAGACTCCCAACGACCTTCAAAAGAAACACCATTTGGGTCCCTTGAGGAGACCAAAATAGCCATTTTTGATGTGGTGTAAGCCTGAGATGGAAACGCTGACTTCAGAAGTGTGTAGATGTAGGTGGAGGATATATCAAGAAACACTTCATATTTTTATATCTTTGTTTAATAAGGGTTTCTATGATGTTTGTAACAATTCTTGGCTGACCCTCACATTTCTTTGATAGCTCACCTTTGACACTATGATAAAACTGGTATTGTGAAAGAATAATTGCAAAATGCAAATATTAACAAGACAGGAACCTAAATAAACAATACTAAGTACAAGAGATTTTTGCACTCTTCTTGAAATTTGCATGTGTGAAATCATTTCAAAAATAAAGATTTAAAAGGTGCAGTACAATATAGTCAGTGTCCAACTTTCACATGCATTTGATGCAATGGAGAATACCGTGTTTTGGGTCAGGTGCACCTTAGTCCTCAAAGTAGCATCCTTGCTCTTCAATCCTCTAGAGAAGTCTTGTGCGACAGATTTACCCAATGCAACACGTCTTTTCATCTCTTGATTGCTGTTTCCATGAACATTGATTGTGGATCCAAGTAAGACAAGATCCTTAATAACTTTAACCTTTTTTCCATTTACCATGATGTTACCTATTTGTCCAGTTGTGAGGATTTGGCCTTCTTTACATTGAGTTGTAATCCACACTGAAGGCTACAGTCCTTGATCTTCATCAGCACGTGCTTCAAGTCCTCCTCACTTTCAGCAAGCAAGGTTGCATACCTCATCTGCATACCCCAGATTGTTAATAAGCCTGTCTCCAGTCCCAGTGCCACACTTTTCTTCACATAATCCAGATTCTCTGATGACTTGCTTGGCATACAGATTGGATAAGTATGGTGAGAAGCTGCAGCCCTGACACACACCGTTCCTGATTTTAAATCAAGCAGTATTCCCCTGTTCTGTTTGCAGAGCTGCCTCTTGATCCAAGTACAAGTTCTGTTCTTCTCAAGACTATCCA